AGGAGGAGGTCGGATCCCGGCCCCGCTGGAGCAAGGGGTGGTGTTGGCCTTCAAGCAGCTCTACAAGAGGGAACTGCTGCGCTTGGCTGTCTCCTGCCTGGCCGGTGGCTCCGCTGGCCCCGTGGACTTCGTGAGGTCCTTCCTCCTCAAGGACATGTTATACCTGGCTGGTCTCTCCTGGGAACTCATCCCTCCCGGCTCCATCGAGAAGTGCTGGCTGCTGGGGCTCCGCGCCGCCTTCGAGCCCCAGCCCGGGGAGGAAGAGCACGGAGACCTTCCTCCTCCAGGTGGGGAGGAAGGTGGAGGGGACAGCAAAGTCTTCAGCGACCTGACCCACCTGGCAGCCTTGGCCGACAAGCATCTGGCTCCCGAGGAGGTGGCCGACTGGGTGCACATGGATGACGCGGCTCCCGCCGAGGAGGAGGAGGAGGATGGGGAAGAGGAGGCTGAGGAGGAAGGCTGCGGGGCTGAGGAGAGGGAGGACGAGGAGGGAGCTGCTGGCGGTGGCAGGAGAGGTGGGGAAGGAGGGGATGCCTCGCTGCCCACGGCTCAGGAAGCCATCCAGGGCCTGGAGACGGCGTTACGCTGGCTGGAAGGCCAAGACCCCCGGCAGGTGGGACCACTCAAGCTGGTGCAGCTCCGTTCCCTCCTCAGCATGGCCCAGAGGCTGCACCGTGGGGGCAGCCCCTGCTCCTAGGGCAGGACCACCTCTTGGCTACCGACCATGAGAACCCCACCAAGGGGGTTGGGGACACCCTGGGGCTGGTGGTGGAGGTGCCAGCTCCCCCCTCACCGCTCCACCACGGGTGGTCCTGGGTTTGCTGCTGAGAGGGGATAACAATTTAGGGCTAAACGGGGTTTTTATTTGAGCAACAGCCCCTCCGTACCTTGTGTATTTGAGGGATGTTCCTCACCCTGAAGTATATTTCGGAGGTGCTATTTTTTTTAAATCCTGTGAGACCGAGCTGGGGTGGTGGCCCCTTGGTCACGGGCAACAGTAGGAGGGGGTGGGTGTCCCCCCAACCCCGTGGGGAGAAAGGGCGAGGGAAGGACCTGCTTGGTGTCACCACAAGGAGCCAGGATGATGGGGGAAGTGACACTTAGTTCCCCACATCTTGGAGGTGGGCACAGTTGGTGGGACATTGGACCACTCCTGGGGAGCTGTAAGGCAAAAGTCCTGTCCTGGAAGAGGCTGGTGACATCCTCACTTGCTGATGAAGTGGAGTCTGGTTAAACTGGGGAGGTTTGGAGCTGGTTGAAGACAACTTTCTTCATGCACTGGATTGGGGCAGGGACACTCGGGTGGCATCTGAGAAGCTGCAGCTCCCCAGAGAGGGTCACCTCCATCATTCCCAGGAACAACCAGACCATGGAGACCTGTTGAAACAGGTACCATCATCCCAGCCATCCTGGTGAAGCCAAAGGCTTCAGTGATGGGTGGGATTGAGGTGCCTCCTCTGGGGTTTTGTGGGGTGGTTGGGGCTGGAGAACACGTCTCACCAAGGAGACAACCTCAAGCATTGCAACTTGGTTTTTACTTGTTGGGTCTTTGTCTCATAACTTCAGAGTTTATGAAAATTAAATGGATTTTTATGCCCGCTCTGGGGTTGTCATCTGTCCCAGGGATGGGGAGGGTGGAAGAAGGGGGACCTCCATGCCAAAGTGTCCTCTCAGTGTGGTGGTCTCCACTGTGTTCCTCCCTTCTCCACAGCCTGTTTAACGTGGAAGGGTCGGGAAGGCACCTGGACCTCTGGGGCTGCTCCCCAAATGGTGGGGTTTTCACTTTTTCAGTAGGACCAACCCGCTGATAAACAAGAGTCCCTGGGAATTTATGGAGCAACAAGACCAAAAAAAAACCCAACCTACTCCAAAAGCCACATGTGGAGCTGAGGTTTGTCCTTCCAGATCATGGAGCTCCTCTGCTCCTCCTCCTCTTTCTGGCAAGAAAAGCTTCGGATTAGGGGAGAAATGCACTTTTTTTTGTTGTTGTTTTCACCCCCACAAACCCAACAAACCTTGATTGCTGCTGGTGAGCTCCTGCCAGGTTCCAGAGCACGCTCTGGGGGTGTCCCACCTTGTCAGGCTTCTCCCCTAGCTTTTACCCACCAAGGTGAGGACCGTGTAGAACTATGTTTCTATTTACTTTTAGAATCTTTGGTGCCCAAGGAACCATACAGAACAGTTTTGGAGCTTGGATGTGGCTTCCTTCAAGCATTCCTGAATTATCTTCAGTTAGGAAATGTTGCCACGCTCAGCAGAAGGTACCAGGCTGGAGGTTTTCCATTTCTTGGGTATCTTGGGTACCATTTGGCCCCTCTGGTTGGGAGGGACCTTTGAAGGTCATCTAGTCTAACCCCCCCTGCAGTGACCAGGGACATCTTGAACCAGATTAGGTTGCTCAGAGCCCCATCCAACCTGCCCTTCAACACTGCCAGGGATGGGGCAGCCACAGCTTCCCTGGGCAACCTGGGCCAGGATCTCCCCACCCTCACAGCCCAGAATTTCTCCCTCCCATCTCAGCTCCAGCTCCCTCTGCCAGCTGGAAACCCTTCCCCCTGCTCCCATCCCTCCCTGCCCTTGTCCCAAG